ATTTTAGGCATCATAGACCTATTAATAAAATAGAATCTCAGCTATATAGAACTTCTAGGAACTTGGGCATTCGGGATAGAATTGCCTTCTCAAAAGGAATATGAGAATTAATTTATCTTTTCTTCATACCATGGAATCATCATTTAAGAGTTTCAGAATCTGATATAACAGTGTTTAATATTCATATGGTCCACCAAAGAATATTATAGCACGATATAGTAGAGTCCATTGAGCTGTTTGCCCTTGCACTTAATGGCCCCAGGCAATAAAACTTGATGTCTACTTGTTTGATTTGCTAAGAGGCTGTCAGTGATCATTCTTCACTTCTATAACAGGTCTTTGCCAGCAGCCTCCATACTTCTTTTTGATTTGCTGTTTCTAGTTACCTAAGTATAGTAAAACTATGAGTTGTCCATCCATGGGACTGTAACAAAATGGTCAACATACCTTAGTGGTCAACATAAGGAACTGGGATTATACATGCATGTCCAGTGGTGCATGTCCAGTCTATGAAAATTAGATCAACTTAATGTGGTGGTCAATGTAGGGAGATGGGCAGCTAAGGAGGTTCTACTGTCATTAAAAGTCAAAGATTGATTTAATGTTGCTTTCTTGTATACATACTATGAGCAAGACCCTGAGCAGTTTTCTTTATGGAAGAAATTTGTAAGTACAAACTTAGTTCATGCATATTTGTTGTACTTAAAAAGGTCCTTTTATAATTTATAATATTTTTAATTACTTCTGCATTATATTCTCTATAACCAAGTTCCAGATCCTTGAAATGGTATTATACTCCACTACTGAACAGCTAAATCATATTTTAAGTTTAAAATGAAATTTAGATATACTTTTTCCTAAGTAAATTCCTACTTTGAAGTATAGTACTTACAAAAGAAATTTTTGTAAGTGCTGAATAAGCATAGGTATAAAGTGAAGGAAGGTGTACTTCTAAAAACATGTGTAGCTTTAAAAATAAATCAGAAACAATTTTTCGATAAGAAACTTAAACCCATTAAAAGAGGAATGAAGTTTAAGAGCTTTTGGTCACAACAGAGACCTCACCTATTATCCTCTCTATTCATGCACGTTTAACTATGAGGAACAAAAGGTAGAGTAGGAATGGTGAAGTTAGACAAGGAAGGACTTAGTGAACCAGGGAAGGGTGTTCTGTGTTGGGTGACAATGGTGCCAGGACCAGGTAGTTAGCTTTCCCAGCATTGCTGGAAGTTGATGGTCCAGAGGAACTTTTCTAAGGCTCTTTAGTTTCCTAAAGAAACTAGCAAATCTCATACTCAATCTTGATGTAGAGCTAATTGCAATCATGTAAAGTAACAAAAAAGCATTTCTGTGCTTCCCTACGCTCTAGAACTTGACCTTCTAGAAAGATGTTCCCACAATGTAGTTACATCTGCATAATGGCTTAATGTGGCCCATGGCTGATGTACTTCCTTCTTTTTAACCTTCTTGTTGACATTATTTAGCTGTCTCATATCTTCCAAATTTTTTCAGAAAGATTAGCCTTGAGTTAAAAAATAATTTCTTTTCATCACTGATGTTCATTACTTGCTCATTTGTCATTTACTGAGCAGCACTGTGCTAGGCACTGGAGAATAGAGATTAAATGATTGTCTGTCCTCAGAGTTATGGTCTATTGGAAAAGACCATACAATTACAGCACAGAGTGAAGTGTTATGGTAGGCAAATAGATTGGGAGAGAGAAAAGGATTGCTGCATGAGACTGTGAAAGCAGTGTTTTAAAGATTGAGTAGACACTGACCAGCAAAGACAAAAGGCTGTGGCACTGAGAGAGTGCAGGTCACTACGGGAGATGAGAGGGTGAACGAGGAAAGGCGAGAGAGGCAGACAGCATATGCGAGACACTATGTAGTTTGGGTTTCTCCTGAAAGGATGGAAGCCCAAGAAGAGAGTCTAGCTAGGAATAGAAATGTAATCAGATGTGCACGGAAGAGGTCAGGTACATGTATGTCTGTGTGGTGAGAAAGGGAACAGGAATGCTGATCCTGGAGGCCAATTTGAAAGGCATGATGAGTGGCAGTGGGGAGGGAGGAGAGAATTCATATTCAAGAAATATTAAGAAGACTGAATTGCAGGGACTTGGAGAAGAATTGTGGGGTGTGTGCTTGACCACTTAATGTGATGCTGTCACTTAGGGTAATTAAAAACCACACTTTTGGCTTGGTGCCTACAGTTTAGTTGTTAGGGCACCAGCCACATACACTGGAGCTGGCAGGTTCAAACCCAGCCCAGGCCTGCCAGACAATGACAACTGCAACAAAAAAATAGCCAGGCAGAGGCAGAGGGAGGAGAATCACTTAAGTCCAAGAGTTGGAGGTTGCTGTGAGTTGTGATGTCAGGGCACTTTAATCGAGGATGACATAGTGAGACTCTGTCTCAAAAAAATAAATAAACAAATAAAAAAATAAATAAAAGCCACACTTTCATATGTAAGTAGTTGGCAAATGTTGCCCTTAGGGAACACAGTGCTCCTTTGAGGATGGCATTCAGATATTATTTTTCTATTCATTCTATTTTATTATTAGTTTGGTTTATTTTATTTTATTTTTTTAGAAACAGGGTCTTGCTCTGTCACCCATCCTGGAATATAATAGCACAATCATAGCTCACTGAAGCCTTGAACTCATGGGCTCAAACAAGCCTCCTGCCTCCAGCAATTCTCCCCAGGTAGCTAGGACTATATGTTGCTAATTTCTTTAAAACTTTTTTAGGAAGCAAGTTCTCACTACATTGCCCAGGCTGGTCTTGAATTCCTGGCCTCAACTGGTCCTCCTGCCTTGACCTCCCAAAGTTTTGAGATTATAGGTGTGAGTTACTGTGCTTAGGTAGCGATTCTCTTCTTATTTTGGAGAGAAAGACAATGAAGCATCAAGAAGTTACGAAACTTTGCAACTAACACACATTATGTTTAAGGAAGAGTAATCAGTAGCAACAATGGCTTTGAGAGGTGGAAATTAGAGTTGGCCAGTTAGTAACTGAACCATTCTGAGAGTAAGGTGGTAAGAAGATAAGACAAAATGGTGGCACTGCTTTAAATGAAGGACTACAACAGTGGGAAAATATTAACGTGTGCAGGAAGGGAAAAGTGCTGACATCACTGGGTGCAGTCCTTGTGTCTCCAAATTAATTATGATACCATGAAAATGTAAATTCCTTAGTGATACAGAAATACAAATGCCTTAAAGAAGATAGGCACATGGCCTACAGATATAGGAAAAAATGCTCTCCATCCTTAATCATCAGAGACATGCAAATCAAAACTACTTTGAGGTACCACCTAACCCCAGTAAGATTAGCCCATATCACAAAATTCCCAAACCAGAGATGTTGGCGTGGATGTGGAGAAAAGAGAACACTTCTACACTGCTGGTGGGAATGCAAATTAATTTGTTCCTTTTGGAAAGACATCTAGAGAACACTGAGAGAACTAAAAATAGACCTGCCATTTGATCCTGCAATTCCTTTATTAGGTATATATCCATAAGACTAAAAATCAAATTACAACAAAGATATTTGTATCAGAATGTTTATTGCAGCCCAATTCATAATTTCTAGGTCATGGAAGAAGCCCAGATGCCCATTGACCCACAAATGGATCAATAAACTGTGGTATATGTACATGGAATACTATGCAGCCCTAAAGAAAGATGGAGACTTAACCTCCTTCATGTTTATGTGGATGGAATTAGAAAATGTTCTTCTTAGCAAAGTATCTCAAGAATGGAAGAAAAAGTATCCAATATACACAGCCCTATTTTGAAACTAATTCATAGCTTTTATAGGAATGTCATAACCTAATTATAACCTTAGAATATGGGAAGGGGGTGGGAGAGGGGAGGTGATTGGTGGGGTTACCTCTGTGGTTTATCTTACAAGGGTGCAAGTGAATGTTTCTAAAAACGGAGTATGAATGTCTTAACTTTATGACTAAGAGAAGACGTGAAGGTTATGTTAATCAGTTTGATGAGAGTATTTCAAAATGTATATGAAAACAGCGCACTGTACCCCATGATTGCATTAATGTACACAGTTATGCTATAAGAAATTGAAAAAAAAGAAAGACAAATGCTTAAGTACATTGTTGTCTATCTGACTAAAAATGTCTATCAAGTCTGGGCAACTAAGGTGTAGCTCAAGACAGTAAATCTAGATACCCGGTGTCTGGTGAATCGCAATGACAAATCCAATTCTGTGGATTCCCCTTTTCTGCTCTAGCACCACCTACTGATTACCTTCCTGTATGATGAAGAAATTGAGGAGTTACAGCTTTTTGAGAAAGATTGTGACTTGGAATTACTTTTGGGAGACAGATAGCTCTGATCAATAGCACAGTTAGAAATTAGATCTCAGGATGGGCTACAACTGAGGATATTTATGCAACAGGTTGATTTTTTAGTGGTTTTGAATACAGGGACTTTTCAGATTTTACTCCCAAGGTTGGGGAGTACCCACTCCTTATGGCCTCCTGTAAAGGCTGAGCTGCCCTGGCTGTGCAGCCTGTGCTGGCCAGAGGGATAGACAGCTGGGGCTGGGCTTCCTGCCAGTGGCATGGCCTTGGGCAAGTCATTTGGCCTCTCTAAGACTTCCTTTCCTTTTCTATAAAATGAGCACAAGTATTGCTATTTCATGGGGCATTGTGAGATAAAATCACTGAGTTCGCATTAAGCACTTACAATACCTCCTAAGTAATACATAATAAGTCACTATGTTAATGTTGGATACAAAAGTGTGAAAAATGGTTCATTACTTAAAAACAAAGTATAAATACAGTCTGTTTTGGCTAACAATTCTTCTCTAATTAGGGACATTTGTCCAACCGTAGCCTTTATTTTTCCATGGAGTAAGTGGAGGGGGATTGGGATGTGGGAATATAAAGAAAACAAAACAAATTTGCCATTGTGCTAATCACACCATGCACCTGGGAATCAACTTTCATACATGGGGATGTTCTTATCGCTCAGGTATATTAAGGAAACAAACACCAAAAATGACCCACATGAGCTCAACAATCTTATCAAGAAGAAATCAGATGTGGTAACGTGGACCCCACGACCTGGAGCTGTCCTTGATCTGGGTAGGATGCTAAAGGACCCAACAGACAGGTTTGGCTTAAATATTTGTAGTGGTTTAAAATGCTTTATGAATTTTTCAATATTATGAGAAAATAAAGGGTTCACCTCTGGTCTCTTGACACAGATCCCTGTTTTGCTTTTTATGCAGTAAGATCCATATACCACTTTTTAAAAATAGACATATTACTATTTAATTAAAACAAAGTATCCAGTAATTATCTCTAAATCTATGAGAAAAGAAAACGGAGTTGTTTTCTAAGTTTCTTATCCTACATAATAGTTACTTACATGTTTTCCTCATCTCAAAACCTTTCCAGAGAGTGAGGAGTGAGGAAGGAAAATATTAAAGACTATTGATACAGCTCAAAAATAGTTTTAAGTACAAAGCAATGAACAAGAAAGTGAGTTTTCACATCAGTGCAAACACTACCCTAGTGCCTATTCCACAGACAGTCCATTTGAACAAGTAACAATACACACTGAAAGAACAATTCAAGGAAACGTAACATTAATATCACACTTATATTTTTTGAATACTTGTCTTGAGCCAAGTGAAACCACAATGGGCTATTTAGAAAGTGACTAAACATTTTGGAGAGTGGTTTTGGAGCATGGTATACATACTTACCGAAAGCACGCCCTCTCCCTGCCTTACAGGCCGCTTCATCTTTTGCTGACTTCCATGTCAAAGGAATTATCATATCTGGTCAATTCTCCTTCATTAATCTTTTACAAAGCTGTTGCTCATCTCTACCCTCTTCTGTCCTGGCCTTAATTCTGCCTCTGCCTCTTCCAGTATCTCACCCGAATTCTTCTTTTTTTTTTCTTTTTTTTTTGAGACAGAGTCTCACTTGTTGCTATGGCGTCACAGCTCACAGCAACCTCCAACTCTTGTGCTTAAGCAATTCTCTTGCCTCAGCATCCCAAGTAGCTGGGACTACAGGCGCCTGCCACAACGCCCGGCTATTTTTTATTGCAGTTGTCATTATTGTTTAGCTGGCCCAGGCCAGATTTGAACCTGCCAGCCTTGGTGTACATGGCTGGTGCAGTAACCACTGTGCTATGGGTGCTGAGTCTCTCACCCCACTTCTTGCAGTGGCTGCTGAATCGTGTTTGTGCCGCCTCCTCCGTTCCCCCAGGATTTTCAATTTGCTGGTCACAACCTATTAGCAGGTCATAAAATCAGTGTCATTGCTCACAACCAGCCTTTAAAATAAATTACATAGAATAGAATGGAACGGAATAGATTAGAAAATACCTGAGTGCACTGCATATGACAAGGGCATTACGTCAGGAAAATTTTGTTTCACCGGTGCCCTTGGTATGCAGACCTCCAGGGTCCGGATATAAAATGTAGTTTTTTGGAGGAATCATAGGCAAAAATGTTTGAAAATCCCCTACTCTACCTTGCTGAAAAAGAAATCTTCCTAAAATGTAAAACTCGTCCTATTCCTTCCTTAAAATTCTTTAGGATATCCTCAGTGCCTCCAAGATAAAAGTCTTTTTTATTTTCCTGGTTAAGAATGAAAAAGGATTTTAATTATCTTGGATCCAGAGTATCCAAGAACCTTTGTCATTTGCCTAACTCTCCAAAATCATCTTTTCCCGCCCCTCGAGATGTATCTTACAGCATTAATTTTTTAATGAAGACCAGAATGACTAGTGGGGCTTACATAAATGCAGATCCTTGGGTTCCCCCACAGAGATGCCGATTCGGTAGATTTGAAACAGAGCCCAGGAACCTGCATTTGTATCCTTTTGCCATGCATTCTGGACAACAAGAGAGTCAGTATTGTTGGATCTCAGAGCAAACATGGAGCATAGGGGACACACAGATACTAAGTGCTTAACTGCCTTGTGAAGGGAGGAGAGGACAGGAGAGCCCAGGAAATGCAGTCAGGGAAAACGCCATCTGGATCATTGGCACTTAGAAGTGAGGAGGAGGCTGCAAGTAGAATAGAGAGAAAAAAGATTCCAGTCAGAGGCAGGGGCACATGCTAGAGAGGGCGGGTGCAGATGGTATCATGGGTTTGGTGAGTGCAAATGCTTCCCATAAGGGAATGAATGTCTGCCATTCATTCAGAAACCGTTTGTGGAGGTGCTGCTACTCTATGCCTGGTATCATACTAGTGAAGGGGGTATGGGCCTTGTCTTGTCTTCATGAAGACACCTGTCTTCCTGAGTATGATCTCTATAGGCAGAGGAAAAGGATGAACAGGAATGCTGGTGAGGGCCTGGGTTCCAAAGGCCTCATCAGCAGTGCAGGGAATTTGTTTTGAGAGGAAGGGAGCTACAGAAAGATGCAAGGCAAAGAAAGGAACCTTGTTGTGTTCTAGAAAAACCATTTCAGCTTTATAGAAGAGAATGGACTGTGGCAGCGACTGTAGGTAGAACTACTGCAGTTAGGGATGCCAGAGGGGAGGCTATGGATTTATATGTGGAGAGATTAGTGAGGCTCTAAACTCAGACAGGGGCAAGGAATTAGAGAAGATTTGACATCTATTTAAAGTGAGAAACTTGACTTATGTTTAGAAATGAGAATCTCTGGGATTTGGTAAATAATTGATTACAGAAACCAGTGCTTCTGTTACTTTGGGAATACAATGGGCCCAAAGTGTAGTTTTGTGAAGAGGGACAGCTGCCCCGACCTGCTAAATCCTTACTAGGTGGATGCCTAGTTCCTTCCTTATATTTCTCTTACCCAGATCATCACATCCTGTTCCGTTCACAGAGCTCAAGAGTCTATGTTCCATGCAAGGATCTGTCTTCACAGGGATGGACAGAACTTTTAAGATTATCAGAGAACTTCATTATCCACATTGCTGACTGGGTTTAAAATTCAAATTGCCCATCTGTTTGTTGGCTGTACTTTGAGTAGTGCAGTAAGAGTAACACGCCTATATTAGAGGCATATATTGGCCTCACTAATCTCTTCATATATATAAAAAAAATCTGAGAATATCACAAAGATAGACTAAAGTCATCATATGTCTAACAACTATTTATTGAGCACTTGCTATGCATTTAAGTCAAGGTTACTGCCTTCATCAAACTTGTATTCTGCCTGGCATGAAGAGAAAAGACTGTGCAGGCATCCACAAAGTCGATAAGACCAGATTAGATTCAACAGTTTCATAATTTAGTTACTTGAACCAAAAGTATCTAAATAAGTGGTTTCCATACTTTTCCTCAGACATGGATTTTTTTCTTCAAATAAAATCTGACTTAGAAATCCATCGTGCTAAATTATTAACAGGGCCTGGTCTGGTTGAGGTTATGGTGGGGGAGTGGCTGGGAATCATTTGAGCAGTCTCAAAGCCACTGATCTGGTTGATTTTTTCCATTAAGTGCTAACTTTTGCCTGGATCATTTGCTGCTTTCTCTTGTGTCTTTAAGCAAGGGCATCATAGAACCTCCAGTGGGGACTAAAATTTACAAGGATTCCTGGGACTTTGGACCTTATTTGAAAATCTTGAATGCTTCTATAGGAGATGAAATATTTCTTCACCCATCCTGGATAAAAGAATACTTCACTTGGGCTGGATTTAAGGATTATAACCTTGTGGTCAGGGTATGCTATTAAGTATTATTTGCTCTTGCTTTCTTTTTTTTTTCTTATGTGTTTGCTTTCTTATATTACAGAAATATCTGAAAACCCCTTCATTTTCCAAATTTTTTTCTCAATAAGCGTTTGTTAAGCCCCACCAACTGCCTAACAGTGAAGAGATTTGACAATTTGATCAACAGTCCCTTGTTGAATATTTTTCTTGTACATGTATTATGGAAATATATGAAACCCCCTTCATTTTCCATTGTTTTCTCAATAAGCCTTTGTTAAGCCCTACCAACAGAGAAGAGATTTGAGAATTTGATCAACAGTTAGTTCATTGTTGAATATTTTTCTTGTATATGTATTATGGAAATATATGAAACCCCCTTCATTTTCCATTTTTTTCCTTCAGTAAGCCTTTGTTAAGCCCTACCAACTGCCTAACAGAAAAGAGATTTGAGAATTTGATCAATAGTCCCATGTTGAATATTTTTCTTGTACACGTATATGGAAATATATGAAACCCCCTTCATTTTCCATTGTTTTCTCAATAAGCCTTTGTTAAGCCCTAGCAACTACCTAACAGAGAAGAGATTTGAGAATTTGATCAACAGTTCCTTGTTGAGTATTTAGGGAATTATTCTGAAGTCCAGTTTATTATTATTATTCTTTTTGGAGTATCTTTTATCTTTGTTGTTTGTTTTGTGCTTGTGGGTATTCTGTTTTTCTTTTGGCATAGTAGGAACACTTCTTTAAACTGTTTCTGAGGACCAAGTTGTGCCAACCAAGAGGTAGGCCTAGATCCAGAATTTAAACTAGGTCCAACCTGCACACAAGCCACAAGATCAGGTTTTAACTTGGTCCCCAAAGCTGGACATAGAGCCAAAAGCAAATTAAGTACAAATAGACAGGGTGTGCGAGACAAAGAAGAGATCTGAAATGGGCCACTCCTGGCTGATGTTAAATCCCTGAGGTTGTGCAGGGGAGCAAAGTTTAGGGCAGCATCAAGAAATGGACAGCACTCACACTTTTAGAGACAAGCACTGATTACCCTGGGCGGGGGGGACTATTCCCAGGTTTGCCTTTCAACCCCTCTACAATAACATCAGGCAACATTTACTGCTCTCAAAAACAGTCTCTGATTCCCCAAAACCTGCCCAAGGCCATTGATAGGCTATAACAAAGTTTTTGCTTGTTAATAATGAAATAAGTAGGAGAGTAGGTGTGCACGTTGATATAAAATGTCAACTCTCTTTTCTTGGGAGGAATTATTATTTCATGATTAAGTCCTTTTTATTGTAGGAGCATGAAAATATTCTTGCTTTATTGAAAGAAAAGGATAGCCGACATAAGATTTTCTTTTAAAGTTCTCACTTGGCAAAATAAAAGGTGAATGCTTATATCAGCTCTCAGATATATTTTAGGAAATGGTCTTTCAAAGCCAAAGGCCTGGAAAATGTTGGTGTAAATGATATTTTCAGTTGGACAATTATGGAAAAGGAAATCTTTCGGAAGTTTTTCGTAAACAGTTTTCAATGAAACTGTTGATATTTAGCTGCTATCTGATGGTAAGAAACATTCCACATTTGATTTATTCGCTCTCCTGCAAACCGATGGTGATACATTTGATGTCTCATTACTAATAGTACTTGAGTACTTTGAAGTTGGTGATAGGAAGGAGTTTTGCTAATGTAGAATAGGACTGGAATATTATCAATTCAGTAGAAAGGAAAGACAGAGCGAGAATGAGAGAAACAGATTCTTAATATTAACTTCCAATCCAGTGCTATCACTTATTATTTAAGAGCATTGCATCTTACACATTCTTAGAATTTTGAAAATACCTTGACCGCCTGATTGGTATTCTCTCCTTTACTATGTCATTTGCACAGATGATTGAGACAGATGATGACTTCAGCCCCTTTCCTGGAGGATATGACTATTTGGTTGACTTTCTAGATTTATCTTTTCCAAAAGAAAGACCACACCGAGAGCATCCCTATGAGGAAGTAAGCAGCAACACTGGTGGAAGTCTTCCTTGCTTCCTTCCTGCTTCCTTCCTCTTTCCTTCCTAAATATACTTGTTATTTTAGAATAACTTTAAGTTTATAGAAAAGTTCTAAGGATAGTGCAAAGTATTATCAACATCTCACTTTACCATGGTGCATTGTCACAACTAACAAGCCAATATCACAAGTCTAAATTGGTTTAGACTACAAACTAAAGTCTGTATTTGTTTTTATTTTGGCCATTTACCTATTATTTATTCATTTACTGATTTATTTTTTATCTCAAATTAATATAAGGATACCTAATGATTAGGTTACATTGTTTGTATTAGTTAGGAAAAGTCTGAGTTGTATTTGAGTGCCTCACCCAAGGGATGTGCCATACACCCTTACATGCTCACAGGTCTAATTACAGCTTAGGTCAGGGCAGTATCTGGAAATAAGCATACAGAGTAGTGCACAGAGACCTGTGAGCATTGATCTCTGCCTTCCTTTCCTTCTGTTCAGTGTCATCTCCTTCTCCAGGTGAACCCAATAGGTGGCCCTAGAAAGCGAGTTAAATGAACATAAACCAACACATATTCTACGGAGCCCCAATATCAAGCGAATCCCTCACCTGTGGCAACATGAGCTAAAGGAAAGATCTGTGGCTTTGGAGACTCTCCCCTCTCCCTCCATCCCCAAATATAATCAGTTGCCAGGATTTTTGATATTTCACACCCTGAATATTTGTCAACTCTCTTCCCAATTCTCCCTTATGCTCCTTTCTAGATTGAAGGTCAGGAAAGGCCATTCGCCCCCCCACCCCCAGGAGGAACTAGGTCTTGAGGCTGCATCCTAGCCGGGCAGACCTTCACCTGACCAAACTGTGGAATTGTGCCTCTAAATTTCTTTACAAAAGAATAGATCCTCTGATCTATGTTTAATCTTAGTTCACAACTGTCTTGTAGAAATGGTGCGGAAAAAAGAAATAAACCCCAAATGCCAATCTTCCAATCACTCTGTATTGTTTAATAGGCCTGTCATTTATGAAAGTTTGCCCCTCTGGCATTAGCATGGTATTTACCGGGGAAAGGTGCAATGCAGATACTGAAAAAGCTCCTTTAAACTTTCACTGGTAATGATGGATGGTTAAAACCATGTCCCATCTTAGAATAACTTCCCTTTATGTTTTTTATATAAATCATCTTATTTCTTTTCTCACATCAGTCCCATAATAGAGAAACTAAGGCTTAACAAACTTAAGGTCACATAATTAGCAAATGCAGGGCCGAAACTCAAGATCATCTCTGCTTGTCCCCTAATTCTGTGCTCCTTTGATTGTTCAGCAGCTTATGTCTCAGAAGTTGGGATTCATTAACCGTAAGGCCCTCAGCCATCTGAGTTAAGGTAATCCTATTCAATGACAGGCCAGGCTCACACAGACAGCCTTGAACATGCGGGCTCTGCATTTCCCCTTAACGTACACATGGAAACTTGAACACTTCACATTTGGAATGATGACAACAGCAAATATGTACTGAATGTTATATACTGAATGCCAGGCCTTGTTTAAAATGTTTTATGAACATCATGACTCACTTAACCCTCACAACAATTTTATGATAAAATGAAATTATCATCTTCATTTTATAGATGAGGAAACCAAGGCACAGAATGGTGACCAGGATCACACAGCTAGAACCTAGATTTGAACCCAGTAACCTGACTCCAGACGCTATGCGCTTAGCCACTATGCACCCCGAGCTCTTGCTCCTTTTCCTGGTCTCCTTGCTTCAATTTCTGCTGTGCTAAGCCTTGTTCCATTTCTTCTCAGCCGGTAACATCTGCTCCAGTAGCATCTCTGCTTGACTCTTCATGCCCCTGCCATCATGGGCTGCTTCTCTCAGAAACAGGAGAGCTGGACACTCTGTGCTGCTGGGGTCACTCTGATAGTTGTGGCATGTCTGTTTCAGATTCGGAGCCGGGTTGATGTCATCAGACACGTGGTGAAGAATGGTCTACTCTGGGATGACTTGTATATAGGATTCCAAACACGGCTCCAGCGGGATCCTGACATATACCATCATCTGTAAGTCTGAAAACACCTGTCACCCCCAGGCCAGTGTAGTGGATGCCATGGTTATGGATAAGCAGAGTCACGGCTGCCTATGCCTCCCAATTCTGACGGATTTTCCAGATTCCCCCATTATAGCTTCATTCCTTTGTTTCTTAAAAAACAAATCTGATTAGGCCAGGTGTAGTGGCTCACACCTGTAATCCTAGCTCAGTGTACATTCTCGTAGGCCTATTTCTCTAAAAATTTTGCTTTCTTTTTTTTTTTTGAGACAGAGCCTCAAGCTGTCCCCCTGGGTAGAGTGCTGTGGCATAGCTCACAGCAACTTCCAACTCCTGGGCTTAAGTGAGTCTCCTGCCTCCGCCTCCCAAGTTGCTGGGACCATAGGTGCCCGCCACAACACTTGGCTATCTTTTTTTTTTTGGTTGCAGCCATCATTGTTGTTTGGTGGGCCCCGGGCGGGATTCGAATCCGCCACCTTAGGTGTATGTGGCTGGCGCCTTAGCCACTTGAGCCACAGGCGCCAAGCCTAAAATATTTGCTTTCAATAAAATGTCCCATATAGTTGGTGGGGAGGGAGTGCTATTGTTGCTGTTATGTTATTTAACATAATCCTAGTGTGTATGTTCTGCAGCTTGCATTCTTTACTCATCAACGTATCTTAGGTATTTCTCTGTAGTAGAGCATGTCCCACAACCTCAAACCTTTTAATAGCTGTAAATCATTTCAAGTTTTGCTCGTTTTCAATAGAGCGTACATCTGACTTTTTGTTCTGGAAAAAAAAAAAAAGAAACATGGCAACTTGGGAGGAATTCTGGAGAAAATTTATCTTTTTTTTTCTTTTTTCCAGTTTTTGGCCGGGGCTGGGCTTGAACCCACCACCTTCGGCATATGGGGCCGGCGCCCTACTCCTTTGAGCCACAGGTGCCGCCCTGAAAATTTATCTTTTGTTTCCTTTTTTTCTGAGGCAGAGTCTCACTCTGTCACCCGGGGTAGAGTGCTGTGGCATCATAGCTCACAGCAACCTCAAACTCTTGGGCTCAGGCAATCCCCTTATCTCAGCCTCCCAAGCAGCTGGGGCTATAGGTGCCTGTCACAATGCCCTGTTTTTCTTTTTTTAGTAGAGTCGGGGTCTCACTGGTCTTGAACCCCTGAGCTCAAGGGATCTACTGCCTTGGCCTCCCAGAGTGCTGGAATTTTTTTCTTAAGAAAATAATTTTATCTTGGAAACTCTTTTTTTTTTTGCAGGGACTGGGTTTGAACCCACCACCTGTGGCATATAGGGCTGGTGCCCTACTCCTTTGAGCCATACATGCCACCCAATCTTGGAAACTCTCCCCCCCCCCCCAGTTTTTGGCTGGAGGGCTGGGTTTGAACCTGCCACCTCCAGCATATGGGGCCAGCGCCCTACTCCTTTGAGCCACAGGTGCTGCCCAGAAACTTTTAAGATATTAATCCTAAACTCTGTCTTTTTACATTGTGTTTTGACAGAAAAGGTCTTTAAAGGATGTCAATAAGGAATCTTGGGAAGCAGTCACAGCCCACTTTTATCTTCATTGTTCTTGAAATGGGATTAGTGAGCTTACTAAAAATTTTCCGTTTATAAAAATAAGACCTAGCCACTGTAGAAAATTTGAAAAAATATTTTGAAATACCAAAAAAAGAAAAAAAATTAAAACCACAAATAATCCCACCACCCAGAAAGAATAATTTACATTTTGGTGTCTATTTAATTTTTCTTTTTCTGCTTACAAGCACATACACATGCACTTTGTATACAAATAGGATAGTACCGTATGTGTTTATCATAGTAACTTTCCACATTAGTCTATTTTCCTACATCATTTTTAATGCCTGCCTGCTTAATGCTATATATATATATATATTTATGGCCACCCAATCTTTGACCTTCAAGTTGTTTCTGACTTTTTACCATTTAAAATGATGACAAGGCAAATAATCATGTAGGTGTGTCTTATACAAATGCATAGTGATTTCCTTCAGATAATTTCCTAGGGATGGAGCTGCTGGATCCATTGCCTAAGTGTTCAGGCTTTGGTGCACTCTACCCAGCTGTTCTTCAGGAAGCCAGTTCACCTTCCCATCAGTAATATATTAGAGGATACATTTACCTGCTCCCTACTAATACTATGTCTTAATGCTTTTGTGTACAACATATAAATTTAGACTTTACACATGGAAATTCCTTAAAGCAAGAGACATCTTAGTACAATAAAAATAAGACACAGTCATCAGTATTTATATATATTCAACACCCTGAACATTGAGTTACATGAACAGCTGAAACAGTACAGAAATACTGTCTCTTGAGGATAGTTGAGTACCAGGCTCAAAATAGATATTGGCAAAATAACAGGCATGGAATTTCCCTGCTTTATCTCTCATACAGGTTTTGGAATCATTTTCAAATAAAACTCCCCCTAACACCACCCAACTGGAGATCATTTCTGATACACAGTAAATAGAATGGACATGAGAATTCCCAGGTAAGATGTCCCATGGGCCTGGGAGACACCTCACTTTATACCCTTTGACATTCTCTTTGGCACTTAAGCAGGCACTGTGTCTTTAAAAAAACAACTTTCGGGGGTTTGAGAAGAGCTAATATTACAAGAAGAACATTCAAATTTAAAATATAAGAAAATAGGGCTGAGCGTGGTGGCTCCTGCCTATAATCCTAGCACTCTGGGAGGCTGAGGCAGGAGGATTTCTTGAGCTCAGGAGTTCAAGACCAGCCTGAGCAAGAGTGAGATCCCATCTCTAATAAAAATAAAAAAACTAGCCAGGCATTGTGGTGGGCGCCTGTAGTCTCAGCTCCTTGGGAGGCTGAGGCAAGAGGATCTCTTAAGCCCAAAAGTTTGAGGTTGGCTTTGAGCTATGATGCCACAGCACTCTACGGTGGGCAACAAAGTGAGCCCCTACCTCAAAAAAGAAAAAAAAAGTAAATAAAACAAATAGTACATGTACTAGTCCAAAGTCTATAAAATCTTTGGTCCGGTTGAGGTAAACATACAGCCAATTCATTAACAAAACAAAACCTGTCCCAAGATATCAGTGAGTGATCAAAATTTAATCCCAAAACACACAAGAAAAAGCAGCATCAAAAAAACAGAAGAGAAAAACTAAAACCAGAGAGTAAGATAGAAAACATCACCTCTCCATTTCCAATAGACCTCTCTCTTTTTTTGGACTGATGAAGATTAGCTTGTCTGGCACAAATCAGATTTGACATTCCTACCTATAGCCTGAGCTGTAATTGTATTTCACAAATTACAAAACCTGTTTCCTCATGTTTGTTATCAAGTAGGCCATATAATATTACTACTACCAAGGTAATAAACTCCTTAACTCACAAATTTATTTACATATCCATTTATTTATTTCACAAACAGCTATCTCACCTCATTATATGATAGTAGCCCATTAATTGTCATCCCTAGTAGACACTGAACTTCTTACAAGAAAAGAACATTTAATGAGAATACATTTAATGTTTTGAGGTAAACAAGAAATGCATTGTAGAGGGGTAGTATTTTGTGAGGAAGGGTATAGGGAGTTGAGGCAGTAAGGGTCTTAAAGATTGAGTAAAGTTTTAAATAAGCTAAAATAGAGGGAAGGGGTGATAGGAAGAATATTCCAGGCAGAAAGAGTAGGTAAAATTAAAAGGTAAGAAAATGTAAAGTGAATTCAAGCAATGGCAAGTCTTCCTGGTAAGCCAGAAGAGTAAGAGAAAATAAGAAAGGGGCATGGCAGGAAATGAGAGCCTCAGAATCGAGAGAGCCCACTGCAGATGCCCGACAGGTTCAGTAGATGGGAAAAAGCAGCAGGCATGAAAGGTGGGGAGGCAGCAGATAGAACACCAAGTGCAAGGTCTCAGAGATGGAGCAGATCTGAAAGAAGATGGGTTACATATAGGTGCTTTTGTATAAGTGGGTGAATGAAATGGAGCAGAGATGAAGGTATTAGGAATCAAGGGGTCAAGGGCAGCACCTGTGGCGCAAGGAGTAGGACACTGGCCCCATATACCAGAGGTGGCGGGTTCAAACCTGGCCCCAACCAAAAACTGCAAAAAAAGAGGAATCAAGAGGTCAATATGTGCATTTGGAACTTGGCTTATTAAGGAGACAATACAGTATGGTGGCCAATGTCTTAAATTTGAAATCTGACTTCTGTTCAATTTCTGGTGATGTCACCTACTGTATGGCCTTGGGAAAACTATTGGACCTCCTTGTGTCCCAGATCTTCATCTGTAAAATGAATATAATAATAGCACTTACCTCCCAGGGATGTGTGAGGGGTATAAGGCATGTATGAAAGAGTGACTGGCACATGGTAGGTGAACAGTAACATCAACATAAATGGGAGAGATGTGACCCGTAGACAGCCACTTGGCAAATCTGTAAGAGCTTAGGTATAGAATCAGTGCACATTCCAGTTTTAGATTCTCTCTTACCTCAAAGCATCATAGACTATATAGCTTGAAATAAAGAATAAGAACAAAAGTGCTCGCTTTGGCAGCACATATTGTAAGAATAAGAACAAAAAATCATCCCAATGCAATAAGAAGATGAAAAAGTATTAAAATAAGATTCATACTTCTTTTTTTTTTTGAGACAGAGCCTCAAGCTGTCCCCCGGGTAGAGTGCCATGGCATCATAGCTCACAGCAACCGCAATCTCCTGGACTCAAGCGAGTCTCTTGCCTCAGCCTCCCACGTAGCTGGGACCACAGGCGCCCGCCACAATGCCTGGCTATTTATGGTTGCAGCCGTCATTGTTGTTTTGGCGGGTCTGGGATGGATTTGAACCTGCCCCTTAGGTGTATGTGGCTGGTGCCTTAGCCAGTTGAGCCACAGGCACCAAGCCAAGATTCATACTGTCATTAGTAACATCTTTAATTCACAGGAATGTGAAGCAATATGAATTCAAAGAAATGTGAGTTCAAGAATTGACCAGTTAGTTAAAAACAAAACTTAAAGAAAACAAATCTAGTTGTTTTTTTCCTTGAGACAGAGTCCTACTCCATCACCCTGGGTAGAGTGCCATGGCATTATAGTTCACAGCAACCTCAAACTCTTGGGCATAAGAGATCCTCTTGCCTCAGCCTCCTGAGTAGCTTATACTACAGTTACCCACCACAATGCCTGGCTAGTTTTTTCTTTTTATGTTTGTTGTTGTTGTTGTTGTTGTTGTTTTAAGTAGACAGCAACTACTTGTTCTTGTAGTTGGGTCTACTGCAAGGGTCTTGTTCTTGTTAGGGCTGGTCCTGAACTCCTGAGCTCAGGTGATCCACCCGCCATGGGCTCCCATAGTGCTAGGATTACAGGCATGAGTCAGTGCACCAGCCTATTATACATCTTGAACACAAGAAATTTATACCAACAGACTATACTTTATGATATCAGCCATTGACAACTCCATGTTGCTTTTATGAGATATTGATATGTCTGTGTAATCACTACAGAACCAGATCCAAAAACATTTTACTGATTTTATCCACAATTCTCTGTTAAAAGAGCCAATAAACCCACTAGAAACAGATTCTCTGAGGAAAACCAAACATAACAAGAGAAGATATGAATCCAACCACAGCAGAAAGAGGAAGAGGAAAAACTTCCAAGATTACAATGAAAAACAAGGGAAGGAGTCAGGGAGCAGATGCTAGATTAGATGGAGGGGGGAAGGAAGAAGAAAAATAGACTGGTGAGGAACTAGCATAGAAAGTTAAGATGGAATTTTAAAAGAAGAATGTAAAAACAGACATTCTGTTCTGTAGTAGATTGATTCTCCAAATAGGGCTGAGAAAGATAGTTAAGTAAGATGGGTTCAAAAATTATTTTTAGTTTTCCAAAAAGCTCTGTTGATACCATACATTTATCAAAACAAAGAATTTAGAGTCTGCCTTCCAGGGTTAAAAATCAATGGGACTGGAATATTTTGATTCAATTTGATTCTTTGCTATCACATTTTGCAATGTTAGCTTATAAATGCTAAAAATTATGTAGAGCTTTGATTAATGAAAAATATGAACACTAATCAAATGTCTTGTAGACAAAAATATTTCAAAATTAATAGACAAATCAACAATAAGATTAGTTAGTATCATGAAGAAATTAGGAACCCCTCTTCTGAATATTTAAAAACATTGCTTCAGTGGGGCGGTACCTGTGGCTCAGTGAGTAGGGCACTGAGGGTAGCGGGTTCGAACCCGGTCCCGGGCCAAACTGCAACAAAAAAATAGCCAGGCATTGTGGCGAGTGCCTGTAGTCCCAGCTACTCGGGAGGCTGAGGCAAAAGAATCACCTAAGCCCAAGAGTTGGAGGTTGCTGTGAGGTGTGTGATACCATGGCACTCTATGGAGGGCAATAAAGTAAGACTCTGTCTTTACCAAAAAAAAAGAAAAATTATACTACATAAAGGAAATAAAAATCAAAGACCATATGATTGTATCAATTGATGCAGAAAAGGCTTTTGATAATATCCAGCATCCTTTCGTGATTAGAAACTTGGGAAAATAGGCTTAGATGGGACATTTTTTAAACTGATAGAGGCCATCTGCCCCAAACCCACAGCCAATATTGTATTGAATGGAAGTAAAGTTGAAAACATTTCCACTCAGATCTGGAACTAGACAAGGATGTCCATTGTCACCACTGCTATTCAGCATAGTACTGGAAATCCTAGCCTTCACAATCAGGCAAGAAAAAAAGATCAAGGGTATTCAAACAGGGACAGAAGAGGTCAAACTCCCACTTCTTAGGGATGATATGATCCTATACCTGGAAAACCCGAGGAACTCAACTACAAAGCTCTTAGAAGTGATCAAGGAATAGAGCAGTGTCTTGGATACAAAATCATTATGTATAAATCAGTAGCTTTTATATATACTAACAATAGTCAAGCCAAAAATATAATCAAAGACTCTATTCCTTTTACAGTAGTGCCAAAGAGGATGAAATACTTGGGAATTTCTCTAACAAAAGATGTGAAAGATCTGTATTACAAAGAGAACTATGAAACACTGAGAAAACAAATAACAGAAGATTTTAACAAATGGAAGAACATACCATGCTCATGGTTGAGAAGAATCAACACTGTTAAAATGTCCATTTTACCCAAGGGAATCTGCAGGTTTAATGCAATCCCCATCAAAGCACCAATGTCATACTTTAAATGAATGAGGTGATGGTTATGTTAATCAGTTTGATATACGCATTCCACATTGTATATAAAATCATAATGTTGTACCCCACAAATGTATACAGTTATGATTTAAATAAAAAATTATTTTATCATTTACTTATTTATTTTGAGACAGAGTCTCATTATGTCACCCTCAGTAGAGTGCTGTGGCATCACAGCTCTCAGCAACTTCAAACTCTTAGGCTTACGCTATTCTCTTGGCAGAATAAGAGTTGTCTTGGGCACTCATTAAATATATAAACACTAAGAAAGAAAATTGATTAGCAAAAAAAAAAAAGGTCCAAAATGTCCATGCATACTTTTTGTAATATCTGACACCACAGATTAGCAAAAAAAGTCCTCACAAAATCAACATGCACCCCATGGAGCCAAAGATTGGACACCCCTGCGTGATGTTGCAAAAGCAATTGTGTGTATAAATGCTGGCGCCTTAGTGCAGATCAAGGCAGAAGCATCAAACTTTGCTAGTACCTATTGTATTCTTCACCCCAGGCACTTACAGTTAAAAGAAATTATTTTATTTAACATCTTTGATGAAACAAGAAAACTGTTGATCTTATTAAATTTATTTCACAAATCTAGTAAAGACTTTGAGTACACGTCTCACAGGAAGTACATGGATAGTACTTCCGCTGCACACTCAAGTTGTCTCAAAGGATTTTACTTAAGTGATTGAGTCAGAGCTACATTGGCCACCTTTTTCATGAAACACAATTTTTCTAGACTGATAAACTGGTTTTTCATACTTGGATATTTGGCAGACATTGTCTTTGAAATGAAGCCTGTCATTTCAAGGCAAACAGCTGATAATACTTCTTGTGAATAATAATTTTTATTATTCAGGTAAAAATTAAAATTTTGGAAAACTTGTGTCAACCCCTGAGTATAGGGTGACCAGATATCCTGCTTTTCAACAATTTGTCCAGCATCCTGCAGCATTTTTAAAAAGTCCCAATTTTTGGAAAGAATGCACGAACAGGTGGGAGAACAAGAAGGGAATATAGGGTTTTCGGCTGCCATGTGGCTATTTCGCCAGAATATGAGTTTTATATTATTTTTGTTAATTTTATAATGTTAAACTGTAATAATAACAAATAATTGCTGAGAAGTGATTGTTGAGAACTGCTTATCAAAGTTTGCATTATTGTCAGGCCCTGCCCTGACCCGTCCCCCGCCATGTTGTCCTGCCTTACTGATGTTAAAATCTGGTCACCCTACCTGAGTAGCCCATGTGCAGCACCATGGTACGTCATGGCATGATGGGGAGGAGACGGGACTTGCCACAAAGGCATTGATGAAGGTCCTTTCATCCTATTCATCTTCCAACATGGTTTTGAAAATTGCACCAGGAAAATTATTATTCACAACTCTATTTTCACATCTAGATGAACCTCTATAAACTCTGTGGACCCTGCTGACCCACAGCAATTGAGCCCCATCCCCAAGTTCCCAGTAATTTTTGCATTACTTCACTTACTCATCATAGCTTATCATGATCTAAGAATATCTCTTTTCAACATTACTCCAAGTTAGCAACCAGTGAGTAAGTGAACTGGTTTACTGAAATGTAAGGATCAAGTCAGATTTCTAGTTTCTAGGAACGTAGGAAAAGATGATCAAACTGGTTTTCCAGATTCTCTGGTCCTTAGGCCTCTGAGAGAATCCAGCGTGGGCAATGCTGAGGCCTGGCCTAAAGTACTGGAGTATGCATAGCAGTGTCCCCTGCTGTGATGTCTTCACAGGTTAAATGCTCCATGGGTCGTCGTGGAGAACCCCAAATCTTACTTTTTCTTCTCTCCCTTTTTTTGTTTTGTATTAGATTCTAGTTTTGTCATTTTAGAAAAAATGAAATCAATTCTAGATAGAAGCTTCTACCAATGTATAGAAGCTAATGAGCAGGCTAATAACTATACATCTTTGAATTATTATTTGACATGTCATAGTTTTAAGAAGCAGTTATGATTTCAACTACAGCTGATAACTATTTCAATTTAAAATTATTTCACTGAACCTAGCTACTTACCACTATATGATCTTTGACAAGCCAATTAAAAACATTGAATGAGGAAAAGATTCCCTATTCAACAAATGGTACTGGACAAACTGGCTAGCGACCTACAGAAAACTGAAACTGGACCCACACCTGTCACCACTAACTAAGGTAGATTCTCATTGGATTAAAGACTTAAATTTAAGACATGAAACTATAAAAACATTAGAAGAAAGTGTAGGGACAACTCTTGAAGAAATAGGCCTGGGCGAAAATTTTATGAGGAGGACCCCCCCGGGCAATTGAAGCAACATCAAAAATATACTACTGGGACCTCCTCAAATTAAAAAGCTTCTGCACAGCCAAGAGCACAGTAAGAAAAGTAAGTAGACGACCCTCAGAATGGGAAGAGATATTTGCTGGTTATGTTTTCGACAAAGGTCTTATAACCAGAATCCACAGAGAACTCAAGCATAGTACCAAGAAGAGAACAAGTGATCCCATCACAGGGTGGGCAAGAGACTTAAAGATAAACTTCTCTGAAGAAGACAGACCCATGGCCTACAGACATATGAAAAAATGCTCACCATCCTTAATCATCAGAGAAATGCAAATCAAAACCACTCTGAGATATCATCTAACGCCAGTTAGATTAGCCCATATCACAAAATCCCAAAATCACAGATGCTGGCGGGGTTGTGGAGAAAAGGGAACACTACTACACTGCTGGTGGGAATGCAAACTAATTTTCCACTGCTGGTGGAAAATCATATGGAGAACACTCAGAGATCTAAATATAGATCTACCATTTGATCCTGTAATTCCTCTGTTAGGTATATATCGAGAAGACCAAAAATTATGCTATAATACAGATATCTGTACCAGAATGTTCATTGCAGCCCAATTCGCAATCACTAGGTCATGGAAGAAGCCCAAGTGCCCATTGACCCATGAATAGATCAATAAATTGTGGTATATGTACACCATGGAATACTATACAGCCACAAAGAAAGATGGAGACTTTGCCTCCTTCATGTTTACATGGATGGAGCTGGAAAATGTCCTCCTTAGCAAAGTATCTCAAGAATGG